AAGCATATATGGTTAATTAATATACAATAAAGGAGCCATGGATGTACAATTGGGAAAGGACAGTCTCTTCAACAACTGGTGTTGGCAAAACTGGACAGCTGTATGCAAGAGAATGAAACTGTATTATTGTCTAACCCTATACACAAAAATAAACTCAAAATGGATCAAAGACCTGAATGTAAGTCAGGGAACCATAAAACTCTTAGAAGAAAACATAGGCAAAAATCTCTTGAATATAAACATGAGCAACTTTTTCCTGAATGCATGTCCTTGGGCAAGGGAAAGAAAAGCAAAAATGAACAAAAGGGAGTACATCATACTAAAAAGCTTATGTATAGCAAACAACACCATCAACAGAACAAAAAGTCATCCTACAGTATGGGAGAATATATTTATAAGTGACATATCTAACAGGGAGTTAGCATCCAAAATATATAAATAACTCACATGCCTCAACACCCCAAAAGCAAATAATCCAATTAAAAAAATGGATGGAGGATATGAACAGATACTTTTCCAAAGAAGAAATTCAGATGGCCAACAGGCACATAAAAAGATGTTCCACATCGCTAATTATCAGGGAAATGCAAATTAAAACCACAGTGAGATATCTCCTCACACCAGTTAGGATGACCAACACAGAAAAGACTAGGAACAACAAATGCTGGTGAGGATGAGGAAAAAGGGGAACCCTCCTACACTGCTGGTGGAATGTAAACTAGTTCAACCATTGTGGAAAGCAGTATGGAGGTTCCTCAAAAAACTAAAAATAGAAATACCATTTGACCCAGGAATTCCACTCCTAGGAATTTACCCTAAGAATGCAGGAGCCCAGTCTCAAAAAGAGAAATGCACCCCTATGTTTATTACAGCACTATTTACAATAGCTATGAAATGGAAGCAACCTAAGTGCCCATTAGTAGATGAATGGATAAAGAAGATGTGGTACATATATGCAATGGAGTATTATTCAGCTGTAAGAAGAAAACATATCCTACCATTTGCAACAACATGGATGGAGCTAGAGGGTATTATGCTCAGTGAAATAAGCCAGGCGGAGAAAGACAAGTACCAAATGATTTCACTCATCTATGGAGCATAAGAACAAAGCAAAAACTGAAGGAACAAAACAGCAGCAGATTCACAGAACCCAAGAATGGACTAACAATTGCCAAAGGGAAAGGGACTGGGGAGGGTGGGTGGGAAGGGAGTGATAAGGGGAATAAGGGGCATTATGATTAGCATACATGACGTAGGGGGGGGCATGGGGAAGGCAGTATAGCACAGAGAAGGCTAGTAGTGATTCCATTGCATCTTACTATGCTGATGGACAGTGATTGTAATGGGGTATGTGGTGGGGACTTGAAAATGGTGAAATCTAGTAACCACAGTGTTACTCATGTGATTGTATATTAATGATAACAAAAAGAAAATGAAGGCAGAATAAAGAAGTTTCCAGCCAAAAAAAATGTATTGAGTAATATTTACATTTCTAAAACATATTCATGTATTTTATATATACACATCAAAATTCATCAACCTGCAAAGCAACATTTGTGCATTTTATTGTAAGTAACTTAATAATAAAAAAAGGTTAGATTTAGTTTACACTAAAAAGACTTTTAAAAATATACTTAAGTTTAATATATGGTTTCTCCTTATGAAAACATTTTTCCAGTGTTCTTCTAAAAAATTATTTTCTACACTATTTTCAACTTTTTGAGCATTTATTGGTTATGCAAAATGGCTTGAAGCCAGATGTACTTTTAAAACTGGACTGCCATGATTTATTAATAGATAACTCTCTCAAAGCTTTGAATGTGAACAAACCAAAAAACCTATGTGAAAGGATTTACTGAGGTAAAAGGAGCAAGTAATGTCATTTTAAAATTGGGGACAAAAATACAATTGGGTGAAGTGTTGGGATAAAGTTTTTATTGCGAAGTTAATATGAAGTGTAATTTTCATGTATGTGAGTGAACTTTTTCATTATTATGCTTTTTCCATTTCTATGGTATTTTCATTTTATTTAGAATGATCTAAATAAGATTTAAAAATTATTAAATTAAAGTCTAGCAAAGCATGAATAAGGATATAGCTACAGACCTTTAAACTTCTCTTTAATATATCTTGATTGTCTGAAAATTCTTTTTTATCTAGATACTCTACTTTGGATGGCTTAATGTGAGTTAGATACACGAGTTCTTTATCACAGAGGAAAAAAATGCATCCTCCTTTCCAATTCTTGTTATGAGATGTTGGCCATAAAGGTGCATACACCAAAATGTGTATTCATTTGGTCAGATTTACTTTCTTTGTAAATAAGAGTAAACTGAACCCATATTTCTAATATCTCATAGTAACAATTCTTCAAATCTGTATTTTAAAACTGGCTTCTCCAACAAACTGTGATAATGGAAAAGGGAAAGTAACACTGACATTTATTTTCTGCCAATTATTTTCATAGTATTTTACATTTAATTATTACAACTTTGAAGGGTAGATGTTTTGGTATCTGCACTGTCAGAGGGTAAACAGCAGAGAGGTTTTCATGACTTGCCCACTGTCATAGCTTTGGTAAATTGCCAAACCAAAATGGCAGTGAGACTCGAGGTTTTTCTGATCCCAAACCTTTAAGGACAGGTGTCACATCTTCAAAATGTTGTAGCAATGAAATCGCCTTTAATATCTGGGACATGGGATATGTTTAATCAATGTTTATTTCACTGAAATCACCTCTCTCCACTTTCCTATGTTACCATCCATGTAATTTCTTCTTAAAGTCATTCTCATAGAGACAGTACTCTGAGTTAAAGAAGAGTATTTTATTATTTACTATTATTTTGAGTGGCTATTATTTTGCTCACTTTCAAGTGATTTCCCCAATGGGAGTGTATAGATGGAATCCATATAAATCCAGTTCAATATAAGCAAAAGTTCAGACAAACTAAAACACAAATATGTTGCATCACATGAAGGAATAATTTCTTCTCCTTTCATAATTTTACTTTTGGAACATAGATTTGAACCAAATTAGGTGAATAAATTTGAGTTCCACAAGTGAGAGATATATTGTGCATACTTTTACAATTATTCTGTCTGTTTTACCCATGATTCACTGTACTGGGGTTGATGACCTTGAAATAAATAGATATTTGCTTAAAAACACAGCCAAATGTTTTATCATAAATAATTCTGGTATCTCAGTATAGATTACTTAGTTTTTGTTTCCTTGAGAACAATGGTAAAGAGAAATGAAAATATAACCCATTTATATGTTCATTTTCAGCTAAATTTAATCTCATTTGCTGTTTTTAAAAATTCACATATACTGGGTACAGTACCAAATATTGCAACATTTCACTTAATTCTGCACAAAGCCTGTGAGGTGAGTCCTTTACTCCATTTTATCCAGGAGGAAAATGAGGCTTATGTATGTGCCTACACTGAAGGTTCACAGACCTGTTATTGGCTAACTGGCAGCCCCGTAATTTGAACCCAGGTCTAGCTGGTCCAAGTCCTAGTGTCTTTCTCTAGACATTTTAGCATAGTATAACAGGAGAGATACTCATGAATATTGCATTTGTGCATAAAATACAAAAGTAATCTAACTAAAGTTGACATTGTGAGCTTGGTTTTAATTATCCAGCACAATGACATTATAATTAAATGTAAATTTTGTTAAGCAAAATGCAGACGGACTTCTTCATAACTTATGGACCAAAATTGAGAATCAGACTTCAGCAAAATCATTTTCACTAGAATAAAACAATATTTCTGTTTTACATTCTGCAATGATATATCTTTGCCATGACTGTGCCTTTTGTTGTACAAAAATAAAACCAATAAAAACTGATTAGAAGAGATTTTTTGTAAGCCCACGAGATATTTGCTGATTTAGAAAGTTTAATCATTTCAAAATGTATCTCTTGGAGGATTTTTATCTTGTACTACATTCTTTTTGCATTTGTGTATTTCAAATAAAAAATTTTCTGAGGTGGTGGACTCACAGACAAAGAATTTTTTGATATACTTTGAGGCCACACTTACTTTAGACATCTTGTCCACGACATAACAAGGCCACTACTGCTTCCTCCAGATCACTAAAGCTACGAAGAACATGTCAATGAAAATGAAAAAAAATATTTCCTTTTACTACAAAGAATAAAATAAAGCAAGGTGAACTGGACTCCTCATGCGTTGGTCCAGGTCTCGTAAGGCAAGTGTTCCGAGGTGAGCTGGCCTAGTAGCGTGAGATTTGTCTGTCAAAAACTAGTTTCCCCATGGATACAACTGGATAAATAATAAAAAAATAAAATGAAATAGAAATCATCAGTAAAGATATTGCACATGTATAGGACGGCAGTATTAATGAACTGAGAGTCTTTGCAATGTAATGGGTAATACTCACTAAGACTTTATCTCCCCCAATGTACCATAGTTAGTAAGTGGCAAGACCATCCACCTGTTACACAGCCCACAAATATGGGTGTCTTCCTTTCCTTCCACCTCTCTTAACTCCACTGTCAGTATCTGAACCCAAACCACCTACAGTAGTTACCCCTTTTTTCTTCCCTCCCTCCCTTTTGTTCTACTTCCTTCTTTTCTCATTTCTTTCCCTCCCTATCTCCTCCCTGTCTCCTCTCACCCTTTTCAGAATGCTTCCTAATCTGAATTTTCCTATTTAGAAATTAAGGTCTGGATGCCGGGTATGTTCATTGCTGCTGGGATGTTCTCAGTGGACAGAGTTAGGAAATACATGTTTGGACACACACACACATACATACATGTTTATATTTACTTACTTGCTCAATCCTAGTATATACATAAAGTATTTCAGAATTTCTATTAAATTTGTTTATAAACTACAGTACAATATTTGTGTGTAGTATGTATTTGTGCTATAAGATATTATCAAAATTATTTAAATTAATTATTTTCTTTTCTACCTCCTTCAGTATGATTATATCATTTGTTTGTAACATAGCTAAATATATTACTTTTGAAATCCATTTCGGGTTCTCTACATCCTGGTTAGTTTTATATATTTGTGTTTTGAGGTATGTCCCAAAAGACAGTGCTATACAGAAAAGTATACTCAGAGAAATTTTATTTCTTTCACATTTCATTTCGATTCCTACATATGTTATGTTGGTAAGCAATCTCAGTAGTTTCTAGCTTATTCTTCTGATTTTTTTTTGAAGATCCACATTTAGTGGATAAATGTGTATTTTCTCATTCCTCTTTTTTTCTCTTCTATGAAGGATAGGATGCTATAGATACATTTTTAGATTTCATTTCCCCCATGAATGTAAAAATGACTTCTTATTAAAAAATACAAAACAAATTATGTGTAGGCATGCACAATGATAGTGGTATGCCATTATATATTGCCAATTGAAACTAGTAGCTTATGCTAACAGTGAATTTCTTAAACAGCTATTTTTTCTTCATTTTCTTCAACTGACTTCTCTGAAATTTTTAGTGAGAAACATTGCCTCCTCTCATAGTCATTAATAATGGTGAAGCACTGTTATTAGAACATATTAACCCTGATTTCACCCATTTGACCCATTCAAGCATCCTTCTCTTTAACATCCACTAGACCAGTTCTTACAACCTTAGTTGAATCAATGATTCTTTTCTCCATTATATTAATAAACTCTCATAGCAAAACATCAAACTTCTGAAGACATTAGCATAATTTTCTCTACTATCAATAATCCTTCAACATCTACATTCTTAGCCATGATCACTGTAAGAATTTTGGGTGTCCTTTTAATAATTTTTATATCAATTTTTTATTTTCGCTAGCTGGTATTAGTGAGTCTAGAGTGGGGTGCACTGAAACAGTACATAACCCCCACCCAGAGCAATGCCTTCTTGAAGAGCAGCTCATGCAGCACGGAGGGCATCTATGACTCTCTTTCATTCACTTCAGCACCACTTGTCCCACTAACCTTCAGCAAAGCCACTCCATCTGAAAGTTTCACTAGTTGTCCATTCAATTTTTTCTTTCCATATTCACTAGTTATGATACCTAACTGCTCACTAATTTCTTCAGCATGTTTTTCAATTTGAACCTGTTATCTTTTCCTTTCAAAGGCATGGCTTCATTTTTGGTCACAGTGACCTGTCCAACTCTTCCTAAGACACGAGGCTGAGCACCATCAAGATTTAGGGTCAACATCTCTTCTCCAAACACTGAACCGCCGGTAGCAATAGCTATGTCCTTAAGTGAGTTTTTATTTATTGGAACCAGAGCCTGGAGCTTTGCTATAATTTGAAGACCAACTTTTAGCTTATTCAAAATGAGTTTATTTAGAGCTTCTCTAGTAACATCTTCAGCAATTATTACCAAGGGCTGATAATGACAATTTCAAGAGCAGGTATAATGGACTAGACACTGGACATTTTCTTTTCACTCAATAGAACATAGGCCTCCAGAAATTCACATTTCTACCCTTTTGATGTTTACAAAGTATGTAAAAATATAACCTTAATTGAACTTTAACGTTAGTAATTTCTAGTTCATCATTCAGTTTTTCCATTAATCACATCTTCTAGTCTTTTTCAATGCACCAGAAATGATAATGTTAATTTGTTTGTTCATTTGCAGAAATCATCAACCTGAGCATTTTCTTTGGGGTCTGGCACAGGTTTACACCACTGCTTCAGTTCAGCAATTATAACATCTATCGCTAACATTGTACCTCTCCTATTTTCCACTGGATTAGCACTTTTGCTGATTTCTAAGCCATCTTTGACAATATAATACACCAGTACAGTACAGTGTGGTTAATTGGCAGCCTTTTTCATTTATATCATTGGCAATATCTTGAACAAATATAGCCCCAGCATTTATATATTGATCCTTTAAGTCAATTGACTATGCAATGGTCAAAGCATCTTTTGCTAACCTCAGAACTTCACAATCACTGTTCTTCCTAAAGCTCCTCCCTAGTAATGACTCTGGCATTAGTTAAAAAGTCTACTACACCTTGAAGCATTAAGGCTCAGGCATCTGTGCCAAATTTGACATCTTTGGCATAAGCCTGAGTGAGCTGAGGAACCAGTGCCCTTAACCCTGGCCTCAGCTGCTGCAGGCTGCAAGTCATAGAAGCATTTCTGCAAGGAGGCATCAAGCAAAATGAGAGAGGAAGTGCATGGCACCCACAGCAGTGAACCCAGGTACCCTCTTTCTACTGCTCCCTCTGCACCTTGGCCCTGTCTGTGCAGCTGCTTCCATCTGCTTCCCAATGGCCCAGGCTGAGCAACCTGCATGCACTGTGCCTTTTCTTTTTAACTTGCAATATATCTTGGAAATTACTTCATATTGGTTCATAGAGGTCTTCCTCATTCATTTCACACTTACTACTGTACTATGGGGCTGTATCATTCTTTATTCATCCACTTTACTGGGTCTGGGCATTTAGTTTGTTTCCAATATTACTGGATCAGAAGATAAGCACATATACAACTTTGTTTATGTGTTGTCAAATCTCCTACCATAAGGATTGTGCCAGCTTGCTTTACAGTTACAGTATATGAGAGTCCCTGTTTTCTCACAGCCTTCAAGAGGATGCGTTGTCATACTTTCAAATTTTTGCCCATCTGATAGGGAAGAAATGACATTTTTATAACCTGTATTTCTCTAATTGTGTTTGAACTTTTAAAAAAACTGTATACTTAAGGGTCATTTTAATCTTTTTGTGTGTATGTCAAAATGTCTACCCAGGCCTTTTTATTTTTCTTTTTGGCAATGGGAATTTGATCCCTTATTCTTCACTTTTAAGAGTTCTTTTTATATTAGGGGCATTAGCCTTTTGTGTTATATATTGCAAATATTTTCTCCCAATTTATCAATCGTCTGTATTATTGTTTGTTATTGTTCAGGTTGTTTTTTTTAACTTTCAAGTAGTCAAAGTTATCAATGTTTTATTTTATCTGAACTTTGAAAAATAAGAGGCATTTTTCTACACTGAGGATAGGGAGAAATTTTATCCCTATTTTCTTCTAGTTCTTGTGTATTTCATTTTTTAATATTGAAAATTCTGATCCAATTGGAGTTTATTCTGGTGGGAGAAATGTATCAGATATTATTTTTTTCAATATAGCTATCTGGTTGTTCTATAACCATTAATCCATTAATTCAAAAGTACACCTTTGTCCTGGTGATGCCACAAAGACATAACCTTTATCATATAATAAATTTCCTTAGGTACTTAGGTCTATTTCTGGGTTTTCCATTCTGTTTCCCTGCTATCATTGTCTATTCATGTACCAATACCCACATTATACTAACTATAGATACTTTAGTCTTTATACCTTCATATCTTGTAGGGCTAATACCCTCTCATAGATTTACAGTGTTTTCCTGTTCTTTTTGCATGTTTGTTTTTCCATATGAACTTCATTATCAACTTACAGCATAAAAGAGCATGCCAGTATTTTGATTAGAATTGAGTTGAGTTTATAAATTGATATGGGGAGAACTAACATCTTTGTAATGTTGAGTAGTCTAACACAGGAAGAGGTATGTCTTTCCACTTGTTCAAATCTACTTTTGGGTCTTTTAGGTATGTGTTAAAGTTTTTCTTATCAAGTTTTCTTATCAACATTCCTTTTTAAGTTAACTCCGAAATATTTAGTCATCTTCGTTGCAGTTATTAAAGGGTTTTCTCTACCCATCCACATCTACTTAAGAAACTCTCTGACATCACTTATCCTCTTTCAACTCTTTCTGTACACTGGACCCATCACGATCTTTCAAAAAATGTAAATGTCTTCATTTACTTTCGAAGTCCTTCTACACTTATTAAGATGAAGACCTAGTTCCTAATTAGGCTTGCCACGTCCCCCATCTTCCAGCCCACACAGCCACTTCTGTGTGAACTTTAGCCACACTGACCAGTCTTCTTTCTACGGGGTGTTTGCATCCTGTCCTTTTGGCCTGCAGTGCTCTTGTGTACTTACCCACTGCCCCTCACCTGGTGGAAACTTAGTCACCTTCAGGACAGGTCAAAGGCACCACCGCAAGGATGTTTTTCCTGAAACTAAATTGAGTGCCCTTTTATCAGCTTTCACAGAGCCTACATTTTTTCTTAGCACTGTGACTGGAACTTAATAATTAATTATGCTATAAATTGATTATTAAGAATGTATGGAAAAAGTGTCATTTCTTCAGTGGCTGCCCCAGAGTGTTGTGCACTGTAGACCTCAATCAAGAATGTAAACCAATCACATTATACAAGTTTGGATGGTAGGTTACAATCCTTTAATTCCTGTTAGTAGAGATGGTAAGAAGAACTTTACCAGTGCTGCCCCCACTCCCAAAGCAAGACTGAAATGTATGGGGCTGAACTATCAGGTGGTGGCAACCTCTCCTGTAGGAGAATAGGAGAGCGAGGAGTGGCTGCTGGGCTACCCCAGTGGTACTGACACAGATAGAGAAACATATTTCTCCCAGCAGCACCCATAGTACTGAGGTGGGAACTCTGTGACTTGGAGGACAGAAAGAGGCAGATAAGAATACCAAAGGGCTTTAATACCCATCCTATTATTTCAATGCAAAAAGAACTCTCCAAGACATGGAATTAAAGGACTGTAACCTACAAAGGAACCCCAATCAAGCTATCAGTATAAATGTATCAGTATCTTGTATTAAATTAACACAGAGAAATCAGTTGCACTAAAGATGAAACACTGATAATAACAACTATAAACACTGACAGCAAACAAGCTTCACAATGACATCAAAAACAATAAACATACTTAGGAATAAATTTAGCCAATGAAGTGAAAGATCTGTACAATGAAAAATAAGACTTGGATGTAGTATGAAATCGAAGAAGACACAAATAAATACAAAGATATCCTGTCTTCACAGATCCAAAGAATAAATATTGTTAAAATGCCCATGCTACCCCCAACCCATCTATAGATTCAATGCAATCCCTATCAAAATTCCTGTGACACTTTTCACAGAAATAGGAAAGAACTATCCTAGAATT